TAAATGGAAGAGTAAATTTGGTCTTGTTTTCCCTCCACCCATGGCATAAACAGGATGAATATAAGGACACTGGACTCAGTGACAACTTTCTGTGTCCTGCCCTGCCTTGATAATGGTCCAGCTTATTGTAATGTCCATCAATACTCTCCTGCCTTTGTTGTCTCTGAGATATCTTACCAAGGAAAGGAAATTCTGAATTTTTTTTATACAGAGCATTTGCAAACACAGTGCTGCCAAATTCTTACAGTTCTATGCCAATAAAAACAGTCTTCGTTTTTGATTAGTTATTTACCTGAAGAGAGAGATTTTCCACCTTGAGTATTAGATTGTTTGTTTGCACTTTCATTTCCTCTGAAGTAGTCATGTATTCTGAGAAATAAATGCATAATTTCTAAACCAATACTGTAATTATAGGTAATGAGCTGTAGTAGAGCTAGAATAAAAGGAAAAGAGTGAGAAATCAAGATGCATTTTGTACATTTTTTAATTAATATTTTTTAAAATCTCAACCTGATCAGTCTTTAATTAATGTTAATATACCTGTGGTTGATTTTACCCTGAGAAGATGACCTAAATCACCAATTGAGGCCTTCATGGTTTCCTGAAATTCCTTTTTAACTTCATTTTCTCTGCTCCAAATGTTAAGGTTTAACTTGGCAAAGAATTCACAGCTCAGTATCTTGAAAGAAAACTCCAAAACTTCTGAGATAAATAAAGTGCCTATCCTTTAGGGAGTCCTAAAAGAACTATTTTAATTAAAGAACTATATTAATTAAAATATGCTTAATGAAGCAAAACATTAAAAAAATTCATCACCCTCAAAACATAGGATACAAAATGAATGGAGCATTCTATTCTATTTAATACATTAAAAAGTTATTTACAGATCAATTCCTGTGTTCTAATGATGCTCTCTGAAATTGTGCCCAATGAAAGCACTGTCTTTCCTTTTTCAAAGAAGAAGTAGAAGAAATGGAATAACAAATTGTCAGTATTTTTTGGAGAAGAGTTGCCAGGCAGTAGCAAAAGCTCCTGGTGCCTTTTTGGTATCAGTAGACTTTACTAGGTACTGTAAATCCATACTTTCCAGTAAAAGTACAAGAGCAGAACCAAATATCAGTCTGCCATGCTTAATAGGTGTTTTTCCAAAGACAATTGTAGCACTAGATAAGCACTTCTAAATGTTTTTGCTCTTTACTATTTTTCTATACAAACATTTCTGCCATTGTCATCATTCAGAACCACTTCTGGCTATGCAGTCATGGAAGAAATGCCCCTACTCAGCCCTTTTGCAACACTGATTTATTGCACTGCAGTGGTGTTTTGGGTTAACACTGGTGAGCAGCTAAGCACCTCACAGTTCTTTGTTTACTTTCCCCCTTTCCCCCGTGGGATGGGGAAGAGGAACGGAACAATAAAAACGAGAAAACTTGGGAGTCAAGATAAAGAAAAGTTTAATAACTGAAGGATAAATAGAAGAAGAAGAAAAAAAGAAGAAAATAAACCAGAACAAGTGATGCAAAGGCAATACTCAACACACAACGTATTCCAGTGGGTAGAACGATGACCAACCAGTTCCTGAACAAAAGATGGCTACCTCCTCTAAACCCCCTACTCTTTTAATTGCTAAGCATGATGCTACATATTATGGAATATCTCTGGTGAATTCAGGTTCTCTGCTCAGCTGTGTCCATTCCCAATCCATTGTGCACCTCCCCAGTCTATTCACTTGAGAAGCTGAGAGAGAAATAGAGAAGGCCTTGGCGCTGTACTCTTCAGCCAGAGCTAGAACATAAGTGTGTTACCAGCATTTGGGTCAAAAGTCAGCACCATATGAGCTTCTATGAAGAAAATGTACTCCATCCTAGAAAGAGCCATTAAAACTGGGTTTCAAATGTTTCATCTAGGAGTGACACTTCGCTATGGAAAAGGAGACAAAACTGGTTAGCATGAACTAATTGATAGAGTATGCAAGTTTCTGAATTATATGCAGGTATCCTCAAGGAAGAGGACAAGAAAACCACCATAGAATTTAGGCTGCTTCATGTTTTATTACTCACTTCAAATTGGCTCTTTTTCCATGAACCCCTAAAATAGGTCTATGTTTAAGCTTCACAATACTAAGTGCAAAACCTCATACTTTTGCATGGTCTTTCTTGTATTATTGCAACCTTGTGTTTGGGAAAAAGAGAGATTGAAGAAAACTGAATCAGTTCATGTGAAAGAACTGCTGCATTTGCAGAAATTCTATTACACAGCAACGCTCTGTGTTATTGGGTGTGTGAGTCTCTGAGGATACTTCTATAGTGTATAGTGTACTAGCAGTATATGAAAAAGCAGCTGCATGGAAAATGTTAGCGAAGCAAAATAAATTCTAGAGCTTTTTTATTAAGACTTGTGGGCTGCTTTTTAGTGCTAACATGGACCCTTGACTAGGAAGGACAGGTTCAGGCCTGTACTCACGAATGCAAACAGTTACCCACATTGAAAATCATAAACAGAGGTCTCAGGACTAACTGCACAGCCAGAAATCTTTCAGGTATTACAAAATCAATGACAATAACAATCAGTTGTATCTGTTAGATTGGGTATGAAGCAGCATAGAATGCATATGGCCTAAATCATCCATTTCCATGAAATATGCTGGCTTTCAAAAAACCATGCATAGGATCAGCCATCAATCATTTCAGAAAATTTCCTCCCTCTCCTGAGTCTTCAGTTTCACATATCTGGAAAAAAAGAGAAACATATTTTCAAGGTTTTTAAACTCTTACATATTGTTACATGGAACTGGTAGTCTAATTCTATGAAATGTAAATCATTAGATGAAGAGAGGAAAACAAAGGAAAAACAAACTGTAAGCAAAGAAAATGAGAGTGGTAAGCAGTCTGTATCCTATGTACAGATTGCTGGTTTACTAGCTCTGCTAGCTAACTGCTTTGATTCATTGTGGGTTGATAGATTCATTCTAGACAGGCACATTTTTCCTTTTAACCACATTTCTTTTCTTATTTTGCCCTCCTTCCCCATATGCCATAGAAAAAAAAAACATTCTGAGTCTCTTTCTGTCTCCCTGTGACATCTTCATTGCTGCTTCATCAACCCTCCATCAGTGCATTTTATTACAGCTTCTCTCTTGGCCTACTGTGTTATTGCTAAGATGCAGCTATGAACTGGCTATCAAAATGCTAGTCTGTGTTTTAATCCTTCTGTCCATTTGAAAGGGGGGGAAGTTTTCTCTTTGGCAAAATCCTGAATTAAATCCATATTTTATCTATTATCCCTACTGGCCCCACATGAAATGGATTGGGCAGGTATAGTGTAGGATGCGACAGATTTATTTACCTATTTAGTTGCTGTAAAAGGCTGGGGGCATATCTCCTGTGTGATCAGTGTATTAAGACAATTTAGACTGATTTTATCTATGTGCCTTCAAATGACCTTGGAAAACTACTGAAGTTAATGAAAGTGTGTTTCAATTTCATGATTGTTAAGAAATGAAAAGGCCATGCTGTGATAGATATCCTCCGTGACATATACCTCCAGTTGTACCAGTAGGGAGGGGACATGATTTAAATACTTTCTGGTTTCCAATGGGTTTCCTAGGTATGAAATGCACTCAATTCATTTTTAAGTGAAGAGAAAGATATAACTGCAAGTATGATAGAAGCACATAAATCAGTGCCAGAGCACAGAGGAATAAAACAGGCATATTTGGAATCTCACATGTAGCCATGAAAATGGAAATAAGAAACTTGATGGCCTCTTCAGAGCAGTGCAAATGTTAAAAAATTGGGCAGTGTGTGAGGTGCAAATTTTAGGGGGAATGGGACTACACGTGTTGTCAGTCCTTTTCCATCCACCCTGCACAAATTCCAGCCCTCCCAGGTATGCTCTGTCAGAGCTCTCTGCCAGTGCTGCATGTTAGACAGCTGCGAGCCTGCATCTGTTCTCTGTTTTCCACTCAATTAAAGCAAAGAGAAAAAAAATATAAATAAGACAAATGGCTCTGACAGTAAATTTTGTGAAAGCCTATGTCTGAAATACATGATTTTGTAGGGACTTGGTACAAGATTTCTGTTCTTTTAAAATGTGATTTTGCAGGCTTTTTTATTACTGCTTTTAAATTGATGCCTCTATTTTTTTATTTTTGTAAATATACAAAAGGCTTGCTGTCTTACACAGATCTCTGTTTAATTTGGGGAGGAAATGGTGAAAAAAGAAGTGAAGCAAGAAAGGAGAAATGCTTGTCATATTAGATACAGACAAGGCAAACCAGTAGTTGGTCTATAAGGGATTGTTAGAAAAGACTGTGACTCCTCCTGCATTAACTGATGTGGAGTACACTGTATGTACAACTGTCAACTCAAAACTCATTAAATTTTCATTATTCTGTTATTTATATTATAGTTGTGACTGAAGATCCCAGTCAAGAACATAGACCAATGAGTATTCATAAAAGGAATAGGGAAATTGTATTATTATTATTAGATTCATAATGACATGGACTCCAAGCATGGTCAGGCTGGCACCACCAAGACAGCACCCTGACAGTGGACTCCAGGGGCAGCAAAAGTAAATGAATGTGTCTCTGATGGTGGAAGACACAGCAATCTTGCAGAGTGAACATTCAAGCGAGAACACTTCCCTCTGAGATGCCACATACAGCCTGAAGGATGACAAGACTGCGTAACTCAGTTTTTGTTATGCACTCATCACTTACAGACATCATAACAGACAAATAATGTGAATGTCTGTGATTAAATCTGAAGGCCAATTAAAAAAAACTGGCAAAGGAGAATTGAGTAATAACTTCTTGGAAAGCATAGGAAAACAGACATTTCTCTTTTGGTTTACTGAGTAGAGAGGTACAATTTAATTTCTCAAAAAATATTTCTCTATGATTAAGAAATCTGGTTATTTTGGTCTCAGTTGGAAATGATGGGGTTTGTATCACATATCTCAATATATTGTTTCTTTCTTCTTCCCTTCTCTTTTAGGTTACCTGTGCAAATTTAACAAATGGAGGAAAAACAGAACTTCTAAAATCAGGAAGCTCCAAATCCACACTAAAGCACATATGGACAGAAAGCAGCAAAGACTTGTCCATCAGCCGACTGCTGTCACAGACTTTTCGTGGAAAGGAAAATGATACAGATTTGGACCTGCGATACGATGCCCCAGAAACTTATTCTGAGCAAGATCTCTGGGACTGGCTGAGGAACTCCACAGATCTGCAAGAGCCTCGGCCGAGAGCAAAGAGACGGCCCATCGTCAAGACTGGGAAATTTAAGAAAATGTTTGGCTGGGGAGATTTTCATTCCAACATCAAGACTGTGAAGCTAAATCTGTTAATAACAGGGAAAATCGTTGACCATGGCAATGGGACGTTTAGTGTTTACTTCAGGCATAACTCCACTGGTCAAGGGAATGTATCTGTGAGCCTAGTGCCCCCTACAAAAATAGTGGAATTTGACTTGGCACAACAGACAGTGATTGATGCCAAAGATTCCAAGTCCTTTAACTGTCGAATCGAGTACGAAAAGGTTGACAAGGCTACCAAGAATACACTCTGCAACTATGACCCTTCAAAAACCTGTTATCAGGAGCAGACCCAGAGCCATGTGTCATGGCTCTGCTCCAAGCCCTTTAAAGTAATCTGTATTTACATTTCCTTTTATAGTACAGATTATAAACTAGTACAGAAGGTGTGTCCTGATTACAACTACCACAGTGACACACCCTACTTCCCTTCAGGGTGAGGACCAACTTGTGTCTGAGACTGAAGCCTGGGGAATAAAAGAGGTCGAATAACAGGGCTGTAACCTCAAGGAGGAAGGCCACATCTATTGCCTGGAATGTGTCTACCTGCTGCTGCTGATGTCAAATGGCTGCAAATATGTTAGTGGAAAACAATCTAATGTAATTTTTGCCCAGTCAGCTCCATGTATCCATCTAGGTGTAAATCACTATGGATTTGAAATAAAACCATACATATACACAGAGACACACACACACACGCTTTTCAGCTCACGTTATTGAGATTCCTGTTAAGAAATCTTTCATTGTCTGATATCTAAGGATTCAGCATAACCTATCATCAAGCAAAATGGATTAACTAGACAGTACAAGGTTTCTAAGGCAGACTGTTATGGAAATCTCCTTGAAAGTCCTTTGAGTACATGTCAATCAATAATCCCCACTCATGCATTCTACTGCTTGGAGCAGCTGTACTGGTAAATAATACTGTAGGAATAAGTACTTGTTAAAATGGGAAAAAGTGTGTTTAGAGTTCAGTATTCCGTATTATATGAACACAGCAAAGTGTTGTGACTTTTCCCAGCACACAGTAGGCACATTCAAGGTGGTGTTGGTGGCTCTTTTTCCATGGAGCAAGCCCGTTTCTAGTAAAGATGGGCAAACATTTGGAATTTACATGTGAGCAGACATTCTGGTTTAATGTTTCTCTGACTCTTTAAGCTCTGATTCTTTAAACTTGTTTGAGTTTAGGCCAGCTAAACTACTTAAAAACTGGAATTGATCTCTAAGAAGGAAAATGCCTGGCGGAGAACATGTAAGTTATAAGTGGCTGTCTTATCTTTATTACAAAATATTGTAACAAATTCAATATCCTAGTCTTCATTTGTATGAATGGTTTGTATTGTACATAATTTAACCAGTGTTATTTGAGCTGCTTATTAATATTAACTTGTAATTGTCTCTCTGCTTGTTATTGTTTAAAACAATCAAGGAAATGAGGAATCCATTTTATCAATGTAGCTGTAAACTCCATTAAAAGACAGAACTATGTACAAAGCATTTATTCAGCTAAAGTATTGTTGAAAGCTATACATATACAACATTACAGTCTGTCTGTATTTAGATATTTTATTTCCAGAGGAAAAAAAATGAACTGTACATAAAAATAAAAAATCTTAAAGTTGAGTTTCAATATGTACTGTGTAGATAGTAGTTTAAATAGTTCTGACAAGCGGGTAATACTCCAAGTCTAATATGATTTTCAATATTGTCCCTTTGCATATGTGCATATATAGACATCTATTTATGAATTTGTGTGTGTGTGCATATTTGTGTGTGTATAAGTACATGTGTGTGTGAGTGTGTACAAATACATATATATGTTGAATACATAAAACTTTCTGGAGCCCTTTTCCTAGCAAGAAGATCTTATTACTGAAAGTCTTGCTAGTTCAAGCAGAAGCCCCCACTCCAATAAGAAATTACAGGTGCCGGGCTTTGCTTAAAATGAGTCATTATAGTTTAAAAGTGGGAAAACATAGAGCCACTCTCTGTGTACAAAGGCCTGTCTTTGCCTTAATTCTAGCCTCCTGTGAGGTCCTGATCTCTATGGAATGAAGAGATCCCTTTTTATGGTACTAGGGAATTTTCTTCCTGTAAGAAAAAGCTCATAGCTTTTTTATATATATATATTTTGTGGATAGTGGCATACTTTACCCCCAACATCCAGAAAACCAGCAACTGCAAGAATTCCTTGCCTAAAAGAAGGCTGCCCAAAGAGCTCAGTATTTCATATCATATCTTTCAGAATTATCATTCCTGGAAATGTTTTCTTTCCCCTTCCATCCTTGCCCCCATGTTCTGTGCTGTTGGGTCACAGGTGCAAATGCAGGTCAGCTTTCAACTATGCGCAGCATTATAACCAGCTTCTCCAAAATCCCAATAAACACTCTACTAGTGTTTCAAGAACAGAAAAGTTCAAAACAACTACCAGTTGAGGACCTCTTTTGCTGAAATTTGCAGAACATGAGAATGGAACAAAGCAAATGGATAATGTTATTGAAAGTAAATGTTTTCCCACTGATGTACCAGTAGGAGGCTTTCATATTTTTACTGCTTTGGATTCTTTGAATAGATATGCTTGTGGGAATTTCCTCATTATGTATGACATTTCCAGGACAAAATCGTGACCCCAGACCGTGTCTAGATTTGGAGAAAGAAATTTTCCAAACTCTGTAGTCTATATTCTGATCTCATTCAGGAATATGCTGACACAATTTTTTTTTCTTTTAACAGGGATCGTGATTAAACTGGTAGTGTTTCCCCCTTGTGCTCTATTAAAAGTAATTGTTATTAGTATAAACCCTAAATTAATATGTGTTGTTGCCAATAGTTAGATCTTGGGTCTATTAAATCAATGGGAATTTTGCTATTGATTTCAATATAAATTTCCATTTAATAGTATATAGAACTCCAGTGTTAAATATGATTAAAAATTTTATCAATCCGTATTAAAATTGAGCATTATATGGTTCGTTTATATTCCTGGAAAATTGATGTGAAATACTATTGCTGGTACAGTCTCATTATTTTCTATATTTTCTAAAACTTCTCATAAATATATGAAACATATACATTCTATTCATATTTAAATATTTGTCCACTTTTCAGGTAGCATCCATACAAAAAGGAACTATTCAACATGCAATGTTTGATCCTATTAATTGTGGTTGTTGGTATTTTATCTGCCTCTGTCACAGTCATTCATACTATTAATTAGTCTTAAGCCTTTGAAGAATTTGCTGTTCTTCATAAGCATTGTTGAGTTTGAACTTGAAAGAGTTCTTTTGGTGATTGAGTTGTGAAACAGTGATCTAATACCAGAACAGATAATGTATTACTTAGGTGCTAGTTCATTGCATTTCATTCAATCTTTTTGGGAAATATTTTGTGTTTACTGACTTTGTTAAAGAATGTTTTTGGTTTTGTCATTTGGAAAAGGATTTTAATGAACATGAATGTGTTAAGTCAGCTAAACAATGTATGTATGAGTGTCTGGGTCTTGCACAGGAAAAATGCCTTAATGGAGTGCTAGGCCAGGCAAATATTGCCACACTATAACTCACTAATTCTAGGAGTAATAAAGATGTATAACTCTAAAGGTATATTTTTAGGATTAAAGAAGATTAAGTTACTTATTTTTAAGAAGTGAAGAGACTGTTTCTGTTCACCTTTTTTTTTAACCTTTTAAATCACGCTTTGGCTTTTATTTTCACTTCAGAGAGAATCACAGATAGAGATATTTTAATGGAACCAATTATTTCTGGTGGAAAAATACATGGATCATGCACTTGAGCAAGTATCAGTATATTAAAATTGCCCTGCATGGATCGGTGATATTATTTATGTGTCAGTTGCTGTGCTTTTGAAAAAAGGAGTCCAAGATCTAGGAAATGAGTAGTTTGCAAAAAACCTGCAAAAATCACTGATCAAAGTTCTAAGCAGTGGTGGTGACCTGTAAGGCTTTCACTTGTTAATTTTATCAAACTATTTCAGCCTGGGGCAGAAAATATATTATCTTCTCTCCCTATGAAATCACTTGTAAAATTTTATCCCTTTCTCCCTTCTTCCTCTTACACTGATAGTAAGCAAACTAATAAATTCATCTTTGCACAGATATTGTTTTTCAAAGTTTGCTCTTACTTAAAAAGTAATGATGTCAGAAAACATTAAAAATTACTGTAATAATTTACAGCAAACTTAGAAATATTCAAACTCCATTTATAGGAGAGCAGAATGAAAGTTTTGTAGTGTTACATGTTAGCACAGAAATTTTAATAGTACTATTCAAGTCATTTTGTCAGAGAGCAGTTTTACTATGATTGAATCATGACATCATGAGCTTTGAACTCTGTGTTGTAAATTGCAATTCTAGTAGAATATCATAAGCTACTCTGAAAATCATGTTTTAGAGAATTGTGGAAGAAAATGGGTTTAAAAATATCTGCTGAGCTTACAGTAAAACCAGCCTAAAGCATAGACAACTGATCTGAAAAATTATTCTTCAACAGAAGATGATGAACGTCAGTCTTGGCATCTTGTGGGACCTTCTATTGTCCTTCCATGACAGAGGTAGTAAAATTGAGTCTGACTGCATCTAGTAAAGGAAGAGCAGCTTTTCTCCAGTGATTTGTACTTAACTGCATGTCTTAGGACTGCCAGAGACCTCAAATGGCTGCATCAAGGATCTATTGTGCTAGGAGCTGCATAATATATAATGTATACAATACTTATTTGGGAATGCCAAGTTTTGGATGCCAAGAACTCCTAATTTCCAAGACAGTGTACTGCAGAGTTCTTGTGAAGCATGTACTTATAAATTTGAAGCATACTTTTTATAATTTTTTGTTAAATATACACAGTTCTCAAAAAAAAGTACTTTTAAAATCTCATACATACACACCTGAAAGAAATACAAGCACTTTTGGCCCCTCTGATTAGTTACAGTTGCTTCTTTAATTTTGAATATGAATGCTATTTCCAAAAATATTTTGACATTGAAAGAACAGAGTATTTTATAGTAAAATAATCTTTCATTTTTTTTCATTTTTTTTCTTTACATGGTCAGTATCTTACTAAAATTATGATAAAATTAAATTTTATCAGATTAAATAATTTTCTGGATTAATTTGTCAAAATAAATATCTATGGATATGGTTAACACCTTTTGCAGCTTCCAAGAGGAACACTCACTAAAAATAAACTGTCATATGTAAATTTACAATAAATTTTCGGACTGTGGGAATATTGTATATTTCCTTGAGTAGTATACACCTGACAATATGATCTAATACTTGTAGCATTTCTCCAAAAATATTGATCCATTTTATAGTTAAAAATTACATTTTCTCATTGTTTCCTGTATTCTGTGCTAATTAGTGTACCCAAACTAGCAAGCAGATTACTTTGTTTTGTACAAGAGTATTTTCTCGTTGGAAAATACCTATACAATTTTTAAATTCTGTTTGAAGGACACTGGTGAATCTCTGCTTGTGCTTAGATGGATGTCCTGTGTATGATATACATAATTTTGAATAGTTTATTTTAGTTTGTCTTTGGGATAAAGAAGCAATGTGGTTTTTTGTAGATGCTTTAGATCAGGAGCAAGCCAATGACTCCAACTTTAATTCTAAGAGTTATATTCCCATTATGAAAGAAGAATTTGAGAAGATGGAGCATGTTTGGGATTTATTCCTAGTTCAAACTCTACCTCAGTCATGTATCTATGGATACATGACACATGTTTCATGGGATATTGCTATGAGGGAAGGCTTAAGTGGTGGGTGAAATGACTTCTGCCTCCTGTTAATAAGAAATTAGAGGCATCAAAAGAAAATTTATAAGTTTGAAGCCATTCATACACATCAGTGAAGATGTGGCAATTAGCCATTCCAAAAAGTAAATCACTATTTTATGAAAGGGCTACTGAGTTTTTGGGAGAAGCCCAGGTACTTGCAGACCTGTTATTTACAGAAAATAAATAAAACCAGACTTGGCAAAGGCATAAATAACGTGAGGTCTTTAGTTCCTCATCTAGGTCACAGAAAATCTGGAATGAGATGCAAAAGCCTACTTAGAACCAGGTAACCTAAAGGAAAATTTGAGATCACTTATGGAGTGTAAATGAAAAGTCATGTTAATTCTTCCAGTAGCCAATAGCTATAATTGTTACATTTATTATAACATATTTATGAAGCATTTTAAAATTTCTTTTGCGAAAGTAAAGTATTTTGATTAGTTATAGAGTGGAAATAAAGATGGAATTTTCTTCAAGGAAATTTCTTTAACTGCAACATACTTCTTCCAGAGGCAAATACTCTGAACTCCTTTCAACTGGCTACATGTGGAATCCAGAACTGTGATTGCTGATAGTGAACAAACCAGCAATAATAGAACTTGAACAGCAGGGACCATGGTCATCTTGAGTTCATTGTATGTTAATTTTATTGTGTTTGTCTGTTTCTGGTTTTATGTTTGTATTTTTGTAAATCTAGAGGCATAAGAAATGCAGTTATTTAGCCATGATTCACTTTAGCATTTTAAGTGTGGAGCTCATTCATAAACTCCATGAAACAAAGGGATAAATAGGTGTATAGGTGCTCTAGTCTTTATTTTGCTAATGACCT